GCTCTAGGAGTCCTTGAGCATGTTGATGCGGGCGTAGATCTTGAGGGCCGGCCCCAGCTTGATGTTCATGGTGCTCATGAGATGGTCCTCCTTCAGCAGCAGCAGCGCCTGCCCGTCGATCTCCTGCGCGCGGAACTCCTCCGCGATCTCCTGGCAGCCTGCGGGGAGAGGGGGGGGTCCACCCTCAGCAAATCACCCCCCCCCCCAAAAAAAACCCCTCTCCGTGGGGTTTTCCCTCTCCTCACCCGGCAGGGAGCGGATGAACTCGTAGACGTCCTCCACGTTCCACTTGCTGGGCTCGCTGGGGAGGAAGCGGTGGCCGATGCCGGCCAGGTCCCGGACGTGGACGTCGGGGAGCTCCATCTCCCGCAGCTCCAGGTCCCGCTCGCCCTGGCGCCGGCGGGAGGTGGAGGAACTGGCCGAGATGGGGGAGAGCGGCTCCTCGTAGCTGGAATTGTCCGAGCAGCGGCTGGAATCCTCCTGGCTGTGGTTGAGCTGCAGCGGGGCCGTGGCGGGGAGAGGAGGCGCCGAACCCGGCGGGAGAGAAACCGGCGGCTGCAGGGGGGGACGGAGCGGCGCCGGGGCGGGGGGCCTCAGAGAGCCCACCCACCCACCGATCCCCTCCCCTCCTTTGCCATTTGGGGACAAATCCCACCCTCCCCCCCCCTCGCCCTCACCTGCTTCTTGGTGTCTTTGCCCAGGGGGGGCAGCGTCCCCTTGCAGGTCCGGCGGCGGCCGTGGGGGGGGCCGCCGGGTTTTTGCAGTTTGCTGCGATCGGGGTGGAACAAACCCACCCGCTTCGTGCACCCCACGTTGTACCTGCGGGAGGGGGGGGACACAGTTAAAGGGGGGGGTCCGGATGCTGTCGTGGGGAGGTGTTTTTTTTGGGGGGGGGTGTTACCTTTTGGCGCAAGCCATGGAGCAGAAGCGCTTGGAGCGCTTGAATTTATAGGCGAAGTCGACGCGGCCGCAGAGCTCGCACTTCAGTTTGGGGGGGTTCCCCTCTTCTTTGGATTCTGGGGGGCGCGGAGGGACACCCAGAGAGAGAAACGCAACCAGCTCAGCCGCGGGGTGTGTGTGGGGGGACACACACCCCTAAAATATCACCCACGGCGGGGGTTTAGAAGAGGTGGGGGGGCTGTATCGTCTCCCCAGAGTCAGCCACGGGGGGGGGACCCCCAAACATCACCCACAGCGGGGGGTTTGAGGAGGTTTTGAGGAGGTGGGGGGCTGTACTGCCCCCCAAACTCAACCGTGGGGGACCCCAAAATGTCACCCATGGTGGGGGTTTTGAGGAGGTGGGGGGCTGTATCGCCCCCCAAACTCAGCCGTGGGGGACCCCGAAATGTCCCCCATGGTGGGGGAGGAGGTGGGGGGCTGTATTGCCCCCCAAACTCAGCCGTAGGGGACCCCAAATTGTCACCCATGGTGGTTTTGAGGGGGGGGGGGGCTGTATTGCCCCCCAAACTCAGCCCTGTATGGCCCCTCCCCAGACTCAGCCACAGGGGTGGGACCCCCAAGCATCACTCACAGCGAGGGTTTCAAGGAAGTGGGGGGCTGTATTGTCCCCCAAACTCAGCCACAGGGGACATCACCCACGGCAGGGGTTTCGAGGAGGTGGGGGGCTGTATTGCCCCCCAAACTCAGCCGTAGGGGACCCCAAATTGTCACCCATGGTGGTTTTGAGGGGGGGGGGGGCTGTATTGCCCCCCAAACTCAGCCGTAGGGGACCCCAAAATGTCACCCATGGTGGTTTTGAGGAGGTGGGGGGGCTGTATCACCCCCCCAGACTCAGACGTGGGGGACATCACCCATGGTGGGGGTTTTGAGGAGGTGGGGGGCTGTATTGCCCCCCAAAATCAGCCATGGGGGACCCCAAAATGTCACCCATGGAGGCTTTGAGGAGGTGGGGGGGCTGTATTACCCCCTAAACTCAGCCGTAGGGGACCCCAAAATGTCACCCATGGTGGTTTTGAGGAGGTGGGGGCTGTATTACCCCCTAAACTCACCCTTGGGGGACCCCGAAATGTCACCCATGGCGGGGGGTGAGGTGGGGGGGCTGTATTGCCCCCCAAACTCAGCCACGGGGGACACATCACCCACGGCGGGGGTTTTGAGGAGGTGGGGGGCTGTACTGCCCCCCAAACTCAACCGTGGGGGACCCCAAAATGTCACCCATGGTGGGGGTTTTGAGGAGGTGGGGGGCTGTATCGCCCCCCAAACTCAGCCGTGGGGGACCCCGAAATGTCACCCATGGTGGGGGGTGAGGTGGGGGGGCTGTATGGCCCCCAAACTCAGCCGTAGGGGACCCCAAAATGTCACCCATGGTAGTTTTGAGGAGGTGGGGGGCTGTATTGCCCCCCAAACTCAGCCGTGGGGGACCCTGCAATGTCACCCATGGCAGGGGGTGAGCTGGGGGGGCTGTATCACCCCCCCCCCCGCCACGGCGGGGGTTTTGAGGAGGTGGGGGGCTGTACTGCCCCCCAAACTCAACCGTGGGGGACCCCAAAATGTCACCCATGGTGGTTTTGAGGAGGTGGGGGCTGTATTACCCCCTAAACTCACCCTTGGGGGACCCCGAAATGTCACCCATGGCGGGGGGTGAGGTGGGGGGGCTGTATTGCCCCCCAAACTCAGCCACGGGGGACACATCACCCACGGCGGGGGTTTTGAGGAGGTGGGGGGCTGTACTGCCCCCCAAACTCAACCGTGGGGGACCCCAAAATGTCACCCATGGTGGTTTTGAGGAGGTGGGGGCTGTATTACCCCCTAAACTCACCCTTGGGGGACCCCGAAATGTCACCCATGGCGGGGGGTGAGGTGGGGGGGCTGTATTGCCCCCCAAACTCAGCCACGGGGGACACATCACCCACGGCGGGGGTTTTGAGGAGGTGGGGGGCTGTACTGCCCCCCAAACTCAACCGTGGGGGACCCCAAAATGTCACCCATGGTGGTTTTGAGGAGGTGGGGGCTGTATTACCCCCTAAACTCACCCTTGGGGGACCCCGAAATGTCACCCATGGCGGGGGGTGAGGTGGGGGGGCTGTATTGCCCCCCAAACTCAGCCACGGGGGACACATCACCCACGGCGGGGGTTTTGAGGAGGTGGGGGGCTGTACTGCCCCCCAAACTCAACCGTGGGGGACCCCAAAATGTCACCCATGGTGGTTTTGAGGAGGTGGGGGCTGTATTACCCCCTAAACTCACCCTTGGGGGACCCCGAAATGTCACCCATGGCGGGGGGTGAGGTGGGGGGGCTGTATTGCCCCCCAAACTCAGCCACGGGGGACACATCACCCACGGCGGGGGTTTTGAGGAGGTGGGGGGCTGTACTGCCCCCCAAACTCAACCGTGGGGGACCCCAAAATGTCACCCATGGTGGTTTTGAGGAGGTGGGGGCTGTATTACCCCCTAAACTCACCCTTGGGGGACCCCGAAATGTCACCCATGGCGGGGGGTGAGGTGGGGGGGCTGTATTGCCCCCCAAACTCAGCCACGGGGGACACATCACCCACGGCGGGGGTTTTGAGGAGGTGGGGGGCTGTACTGCCCCCCAAACTCAACCGTGGGGGACCCCAAAATGTCACCCATGGTGGTTTTGAGGAGGTGGGGGCTGTATTACCCCCTAAACTCACCCTTGGGGGACCCCGAAATGTCACCCATGGCGGGGGGTGAGGTGGGGGGGCTGTATTGCCCCCCAAACTCAGCCACGGGGGACACATCACCCACGGCGGGGGTTTTGAGGAGGTGGGGGGCTGTACTGCCCCCCAAACTCAACCGTGGGGGACCCCAAAATGTCACCCATGGTGGTTTTGAGGAGGTGGGGGCTGTATTACCCCCTAAACTCACCCTTGGGGGACCCCGAAATGTCACCCATGGCGGGGGGTGAGGTGGGGGGGCTGTATTGCCCCCCAAACTCAGCCACGGGGGACACATCACCCACGGCGGGGGTTTTGAGGAGGTGGGGGGCTGTACTGCCCCCCAAACTCAACCGTGGGGGACCCCAAAATGTCACCCATGGTGGTTTTGAGGAGGTGGGGGCTGTATTACCCCCTAAACTCACCCTTGGGGGACCCCGAAATGTCACCCATGGCGGGGGGTGAGGTGGGGGGGCTGTATTGCCCCCCAAACTCAGCCACGGGGGACACATCACCCACGGCGGGGGTTTTGAGGAGGTGGGGGGCTGTACTGCCCCCCAAACTCAACCGTGGGGGACCCCAAAATGTCACCCATGGTGGTTTTGAGGAGGTGGGGGCTGTATTACCCCCTAAACTCACCCTTGGGGGACCCCGAAATGTCACCCATGGCGGGGGGTGAGGTGGGGGGGCTGTATTGCCCCCCAAACTCAGCCACGGGGGACACATCACCCACGGCGGGGGTTTTGAGGAGGTGGGGGGCTGTACTGCCCCCCAAACTCAACCGTGGGGGACCCCAAAATGTCACCCATGGTGGTTTTGAGGAGGTGGGGGCTGTATTACCCCCTAAACTCACCCTTGGGGGACCCCGAAATGTCACCCATGGCGGGGGGTGAGGTGGGGGGGCTGTATTGCCCCCCAAACTCAGCCACGGGGGACACATCACCCACGGCGGGGGTTTTGAGGAGGTGGGGGGCTGTACTGCCCCCCAAACTCAACCGTGGGGGACCCCAAAATGTCACCCATGGTGGTTTTGAGGAGGTGGGGGCTGTATTACCCCCTAAACTCACCCTTGGGGGACCCCGAAATGTCACCCATGGCGGGGGGTGAGGTGGGGGGGCTGTATTGCCCCCCAAACTCAGCCACGGGGGACACATCACCCACGGCGGGGGTTTTGAGGAGGTGGGGGGCTGTACTGCCCCCCAAACTCAACCGTGGGGGACCCCAAAATGTCACCCATGGTGGTTTTGAGGAGGTGGGGGCTGTATTACCCCCTAAACTCACCCTTGGGGGACCCCGAAATGTCACCCATGGCGGGGGGTGAGGTGGGGGGGCTGTATTGCCCCCCAAACTCAGCCACGGGGGACACATCACCCACGGCGGGGGTTTTGAGGAGGTGGGGGGCTGTACTGCCCCCCAAACTCAACCGTGGGGGACCCCAAAATGTCACCCATGGTGGTTTTGAGGAGGTGGGGGCTGTATTACCCCCTAAACTCACCCTTGGGGGACCCCGAAATGTCACCCATGGCGGGGGGTGAGGTGGGGGGGCTGTATTGCCCCCCAAACTCAGCCACGGGGGACACATCACCCACGGCGGGGGTTTTGAGGAGGTGGGGGGCTGTACTGCCCCCCAAACTCAACCGTGGGGGACCCCAAAATGTCACCCATGGTGGTTTTGAGGAGGTGGGGGCTGTATTACCCCCTAAACTCACCCTTGGGGGACCCCGAAATGTCACCCATGGCGGGGGGTGAGGTGGGGGGGCTGTATTGCCCCCCAAACTCAGCCACGGGGGACACATCACCCACGGCGGGGGTTTTGAGGAGGTGGGGGGCTGTACTGCCCCCCAAACTCAACCGTGGGGGACCCCAAAATGTCACCCATGGTGGTTTTGAGGAGGTGGGGGCTGTATTACCCCCTAAACTCACCCTTGGGGGACCCCGAAATGTCACCCATGGCGGGGGGTGAGGTGGGGGGGCTGTATTGCCCCCCAAACTCAGCCACGGGGGACACATCACCCACGGCGGGGGTTTTGAGGAGGTGGGGGGCTGTACTGCCCCCCAAACTCAACCGTGGGGGACCCCAAAATGTCACCCATGGTGGTTTTGAGGAGGTGGGGGCTGTATTACCCCCTAAACTCACCCTTGGGGGACCCCGAAATGTCACCCATGGCGGGGGGTGAGGTGGGGGGGCTGTATTGCCCCCCAAACTCAGCCACGGGGGACACATCACCCACGGCGGGGGTTTTGAGGAGGTGGGGGGCTGTACTGCCCCCCAAACTCAACCGTGGGGGACCCCAAAATGTCACCCATGGTGGTTTTGAGGAGGTGGGGGCTGTATTACCCCCTAAACTCACCCTTGGGGGACCCCGAAATGTCACCCATGGCGGGGGGTGAGGTGGGGG